AAATTTTATAATTCATGATTTATTTTTATTTTAGGTTCCATTTGGAACTGAAAGACGTGTTCGCATACTGTTTGTTTTTGACTAGAAAGTGCAATAAAATATGTTATCTAACATAAAGAATAATCGTGATTATCATTTTGGCCGTAATTGTGCGGCACTAGTTTATAGCAATTATTGCACGTTTTGATTTATGGTACCAATGTGATGCTCCTCTGCTCCTTTTGAATAGAGCCAGTTCACTTTGGGCGCTGGTAGAAGATACAGGGTGACATTTTCCAGGGTTGGAATATATTCAGGATCTGCTGTCTTAATCACTTTGGGAGTTGGACTAAGTCCAAAAGCACATTTATAACCTCAACCACCACCTCCCTCTAGAGTGAGCACCTCGTCGATGTCCCTGAACAGGAGACACAGAAGCTGCCAAATCAGAGTTTGGCAAAAACAAGGACAAACATCAGCATAGTCGGGGACTAAATATCCCACAGAGATTTCACAGATCCTAAATGTAGCTAAGACACTATGCTAATTTATGGATAGTTAGCAAATATGTTAGCAAATTTGAATGCACACCAGTGAGGTTGATTTTCACTACAACAACAGTCACCTCCAAAACATGAGATATATTTTTAAATGATAATTGCAAAGCAAAATATTTGTTTACAACAAAGTCAATACAGAACGTCCTTCCACCACTAGGTGGTGTTTTCCAAATAGGTGAGTCACTTAGCAGACAAGGTCCTACCACTACACATCTCTACCCATACTAGTTATTTTCTGAATAACATATTTCACCTCTCTCTCAAGTGCATCAGTAGACCAACTGCTTCTATATTCTTATGTGAGCTAAAGTCACTGTTTTTCTTCCTTAGACTCTGGTGCAGGGAACTCACCTATGGGTTACTTTGTATATTTAACACTAAACTTACTTCCAAAATCATAAGGTTAAATATAAACACACGCCAAATTCATAATTAGATACTTTGCACTCTGTCTATCTATGTCCAGGTAAATTCCGAGGACTACCCAAAAACCTAATTAAGAAGCTTTGAGTTTTATTGTTATTTTAATATTTAATGTAATGGTAATGTAATAGGAATGTCTTGAGCTGATACTCAGGATTGGTATTGGTTCAATATTGGTCAAAATGTCAGGATTGGATATGAAAAGAAAAGAAATTTGACATCTAAGCCCAAGTGCTCAACATAACTTTGGGGCGACATGATGTAAACAGGGACAGGTATTGAATGTAATGAATGTAATATATCAGTATTGGCAGATATTCCAAGTCCGAGCCGTTCCAACTAGCCTAAAGTAGTTCCTACTTTTGAGGATGAACAGATTGGGGAGCTACAGGTTAGAAACCATGTAACTTGTACATAAACTGCACAGTGTGACCACACGAACTTTACATTCTTTTGCCATGTGCGGAGGATTTGCTCATGACTCCGTCAAACTGGAGACCGTATATGCTGAACCTCTGTCTCGTCAGTGCACACAGACGCAGGGTTTTCGGAAAGCCTTTCCACTGCGGCTCTGTTGTTATGGTTTTACTCTAATGTGGCTGTACGTACAGACATTTAACAGACACCGGCACCGACAGCCAGGCCCCTGTGAAAGAACACAAATGGTAACAAAAGAATACCGTGTCATGGACCGAGATATACTGATGACCAACCAATATAGGATGCTACAAGCTGTGCATTAACGATTTCTGATGTAAGAGATTGAATATCGTTGGTTTGCTGATGCTGAGAGTCTTTTTAAATATGTGCAGTATTCGTGATTTTTGTCTTTATATGGTTTGTCTCTCAACTAAACAATGTTCATGTTTGAGACTCTAAAGTAAAACAAGAGTTGAACCACAGGTTCCTCCAGTCTAACGTTCATCATAGAGATGATGGGTGATTTTAGCCAGAGAGGACAGCTGTAGATGTGATGGGTTGAGCATTTGATGAATTGCTAAAGTTTGTTTTTTTTTTTTTCTTCTTTCTTTCTTTGTATCTTCAGTTTGGGAGCTGCCAAGGGAGGTGCTAGTTATTCTGTTCATTTCTGTGGCAGAATAGCAATAGAACACAAAAAAACAACCCAAAATAAATTTTTAAAAAATCATATTTTATTGAACATAAAAACGAAGAACTAAAATATAGCTAAAAAGAGGTTAAGAAATTAATTATTGGTGTTTAAAGTTACCTTCCCACCTTAAAAAAAACCATGATAGTTTAAAAATGGTTTACACTGAACCAGAGAATGGTGTTAATTCACATATTTTAATGTAACTTTGTCACTGTTCCTAGTCACAGTGATGCAATTTAACCTGTTCGTTTGGAACAAGAAGGTTTATGGTGGCCCTAAATGTTTTTCGACACCCTTGCTCTCTAATTGTCTTTGAACGCCACTGTTGCTTGATGGCGGACGAGCAGAGTCGAGGGAGAGAGACCAAGGGAAACAGCGAGGAAGTAGCTCGACACACACCCCTTTTATCTCTCTCTCTCTCTCTCGCTCTCTCTCCATTTCTCCCTCACTGCTGTACACCTCGGTCTGCCTTGAGCTCGCTCTTCCTCTCGCTCTT